TGGAGGAGTGGTGCCTCGGTGCGCACCCGGGATCCGAACCCCGGCCGCCGGCAGCGAAGCGCACGCACTTAACCGCTAAGCCACGGGGCCGGCCCACAAATACTTTGGTTTTAAAGGGTGGTTACTATGACTTCTCCATGGTTTTATTAAGGCCTCTTAGGTGAAATTTAGCATCTCAAACCACTTTTACTTTTTATACTGTTAGAAAATACTTCAAAGTTTTGAATAACACAAACTTGGGACTTAATGTAAACAAACATATGATCTTGTAAAAGTTGTAGTGTATATTAGGTTATATTTATTCTCTTATTTTAGGAGATATATTCTCTATGTTTTGTTTAGTTTTGTAATGACTCAGTCTATAGTATATTTTAGATTTACTGTCAATAAATCTAATTTGAAAATGCTTCCTAAAGAATAGCTGATTCATATTTGGCTTTGCTATTTCTTTTTATTACAGATCGTTTATTATTTTTACGCCAATACTTCTGGTACAGGTGAGTCATCACTCCTTCAGAGAAACACTATGAACATCAAATACAAACACTATTATCCTAGTTATGATTTAAGTTTTCAGAATTGAATCCCAGATTGTGATATAGATGTTGGCATTCAGGTGAACCCAGTCTATAAAATAGACATTTCAAACATTGGGCATACCCTGACAAGATAGCTCAGGAGACTTAGGGTAATTTTTGTTCCTTTACTCATTATTAAGAATATATCATGACACCTCTGCCTTGTCTGATGAGTGTTCTCAGCCTTATCTTGAATGCCCACCTGATGGATCTATAGCTTTCGTATCTTTTTAAGAACACTTTCATTCTTATTGTTGTATCAGCTCTTGTGGTCAATATTCAGTTGCTGTGCATCAGAGAAGATTCTTTAGGTTTCAGTTTTTGGGTACTTTTTAATTCTTTTGAGTGTTAATTATGTTTTTAGGCATGGTGCTAATTTTTAGCCTTAAAAGGAACAAAGAAATGATCATTCTGACAAAGGATATATAATTCTGCTTTTAGATATATGTGTAGGAATTGTTTTATAGAATTATTTACCACAAATTGCTTTTTCCTTAAAGATATCTAATCTGAAAATTCCAGAGATAATATAGTTCTATAAAAGAGACCTTTGGCTCTCCTCCAGGATTAGCTCCAGTGTTTTTCTGCTGTTACTCTGTGTGTATGTAAATTAAATTTACTTATTTAATTTTATCTTCTTCTTTAGGGATGTGGGGTGTGATAGAGTAGAGAGATGAGAGAGAGGAGAGAGAGAGATGAGAGGTGAGAGAGATGAGAGACAAGGGGAGGGAAATGTAAGAGGAAGGTTGTTTTCCTGAGCTCACTGGGCTACAGCTTGCTAGTTCTGAACACCCTAAGATAGGGTGGGCAGAAAATATGTCTGTTTAGGCTACTGCTTGACAGTCAGGCCTTTTGTTATTTATTGAGGAGGAGGGCTCAACAAGAGCTCCCTCTGCTACAAGCCTTGTCCTGTGTGTGAGCACCTTAAGATGAGGCGTCAGGAGGTATCTTTCTCCTAGGAAGTCCCTTTCCCTGAGTTGACCACATTGATCAGTGTACAGCTTGTGAATGCACCATGAGGTGATTATCTAATCTTCCCCATGATATGTTACTTTCAAAAAGATTGTAGTTAAATTTTGGCTCTTGAGTTTGTGGTAATTAAACCTAAAGGTTTTGAGGCCAATATTTGTTTCAAGTGGCTTTTGCTTTTAAAGTTTTTTTCTTTTAATTATGAAATATAAACAGACTGAGGATTATAGACAATAATATAATAAACCTGTTATGATTTATATCTACATCTGAATTAAAGCAGTTGTTGCTATTTTGCCGTATTAGCTTCAGATAGTCCTCTCTTTTTATGCAAAATGTTACAGCTCAAGGTGCCCCCATCCCACCCTTGGGCTTCCCCCACACCTCCCCAACCATCCTTTTCCTCTGCCTTCCTCTCCAGAGGAAATTATCATCCTCATGTTGATGGTATCATTCACGTGCATGTTTCATATCTTTATTATAATAATTTCTATAACTATCTCATGATGTTAAATATTCTGTGTTTTAAAAAATGAGCATAAATATACTGAATGTATATTACTAATATTTTTTTATCCTGTTTGTGTTTTCTAATTTTCATAATGTGTTTTTTCTTTTTTGTGTATTTTTTTAATCAAATTGTTTTCTTTCTTCTTTTTTATCTATTTTCTTGGTTTCTTCATGCATTGCTCTAATTTGTTGTATCACTTGTAGTGGATCATTTCCTCATGTCTTTTGTAAATGATGTTACTGTGAGCTTATGCTTGGGCATTCTTGCATCCCTTGAATAAAGTGAAATTGCACTCCAGTCTTGCACATAGTAGAGGCTTTGGGTTTTGATTTTTCATGGAGGAGTTCATTCCCATCCCCCAGACCAGAATTCCAGGCAGAGATGGGATTCCTGAAAGTCTCCCTGGGCCCGTGGTGAGTTCGTCTAGTTGTCCTTTCATCGCCAGCACAGTCTTTGGGGGTCCTGGCCTTTGTGGGAGTCTCACTTCCAGCCCCTGGCCTTTTTGTGGCCCACAGCTCATTTCCTGTCCTGATTGTTTACTCCTCTTTTGAGTTCTTATCCCTGCCTTTGTCCTGTGCCCAATTCTAACTTGCAGTTCTCTTTTCATTTCTTGTACTTGGAGATTTCTCTTTCTTTCTTGTGAGCTTAGCTGTACACTAGAATTTGTTTTGTTAGAGTTGAGCCAGAATTTCTAGGTGTGCAGAGCAGAAAGGGTTTCTTGTAAGCTCACTCTGCTATATTACTGGCACCCTCAATATCTTCTCCTTAGAAAGGACATAAAATTTATACCTTTGAACATGCCACCATGTTTTTCTGGAAATAGAGAAATGTATGTGGTCAGATTTCAGATATCCAGTTAGTAACTTCTGGTTTTGGGTTTGCCAATATTCAAATTTTATATTCTAATGGGAAAAAAAGGCCCTATCTCTCGCTATAGATCTATATGCTATTAATAATATTTATCTACTTATATGTGGTTTTCATGATTAGACTTTAACTTGGGTAATGTGTTGTGGTTTCAGCCCTGCACCTTTTTTGCTCCCTGATGGACTGATTCGCTTGGTTAATAAACAGATAAACTGGCATTTGGTACTTGCAAGGTAAGAATGGATTAGCATTTAAATTTCATTATGGATATTAATTTTGGGGTCCTTAAGGCTTGCATTCTTGATTTTTGTTGTATATAAATTCCCTTTGTCACACATGATTAGTATTGTTTAAAGGTGTTAATTCAACTGTATTGAATCATTTTGTCTGCATTTGTAACTATGTACTCGTGTAATTGTAAGGTCAAAAGTTGGATAATTAAAGATGTGAAAAATTTTAAAAATGATTTTAACTTCTTAAAATAATTCCAGCTGTGTTGAAGACTGCTTCAAATATTCATATAGAATTTTTTTTATCTCTTTCTCCCCAATGAAAGCAATGGAAAACTTTTGGCTGCTGTTCAAGATCAGTGTGTGGAGATCAGGTAATTGTTAATATTATTCATATTCAAAATTTCCCTTGAGAAAAATTTTACTTAATTTATGGGAATTAGGATTTTTAAAGGGGACAACAACAAACAAACACATAGAGACAGAGATTGGATTGGTGGTTACCAGAGGGGAAGTGAGGAGGGAGGAGGCTGAGAGAGATAATTAGGCACATGTGTGTGGTGATGGATTGTAATTAGTATTTGGGTGGTGAACATGAGAACATGATGTAATCTATGCAGAAATAGAAGTATAATGATGTACACCTGAAATTTATACAATGTTATAAACCAATGTTACCACAATTAAAAAAAATGGATTTTTAACGGGGATATATTTAAAGGGATTTTACTGTTAACTCACATAATTGTGTGAGGTATCAAACACCAACTTATGCCAATTAAAGAGTGAAGGATACTTTCTCAGAGTAGCATGTTCTGTTTGCTTAGATCACTCTGCTGTGTCCTGAGAAATTTTACTTTCTCAGAAGACAAGGCATATCTTCTAGAACTCTGGAAATCACTTTTGTTTGACTAGTTATTACTAAGTCAGCTAAGCAGATGCTCAGGAAGATATTAAAAAAGTAGGGGCTGCTTTGCTCTGTTGACGTAAAGTTATAGATGGAATATGGGTCTGCAAAAGACCAAGGTTACATATTACTTGAGACCAGTGATATTCTCTCTTCTCTTGAGACATTCAGTGGTATTACATACACATCTAGAAGATTTCTCAAGATTTCCATGTAGTTCTGTGTAGTTTATTTTTAAGTGATATGTCAGTTGTGAAAGAAATAGCAATAATAGCAGCTAACTCAGGAAAACTAGTTCATGTTTTGGGAAATTAGCAACAGCAGACTAAACATGTTATACCTCTATAAGGCTACTCCTTTCTCTAGGCAAGGCCAAACTCTTGGTTCTTAAAAAAATAAGCAATGAGGCATAAATTTCAAGATGCCTAGATACCAGTCAAAAATTTTTTCTGCCACTTCATTATTCTTGACTAAAAATAGTGTTAATGAGCATTCAGTTGTTATCACACTGGTCTTAGCTTTCTGTTTGTGAAGTTTCTTTCTTTTTCCGTTTATCCAATCAGAACTGGACCCTTCAGCTTTTTGGGGAGTAGACAGATGGTTTGCCCCCATTGGGGCATTGACTTCAGATGGGGAGGCTTTGTGATCCTTCTTAAAACCATCAGGACAGAAATGATTGGCAATAATGACATCCTTTCAGAACTACATTGCTTAATTTGGCATGGCTTTAATAGACAGGTCCCTCAGTTTTAACAGCATCAGTAAACATCAAGTTGGCACAATATTTGAACTTGCATTCTTCATAGGAATGGGCTAGCACTTCCTATTCTATTTGTTGCAGTTAACTGAAATGTGTCTTTTTGAGAAATGTGCTCATGATGTGACTTCTTTATAAACAGCAGTTAATAGTCAAAATTTGCATCTTTTTCCCGTGAAATGAGAACATTAATAGAATGATTTTAGGTGTTAGGGTCAGAATGTGCAAGTGGGGATGGGATTGATATTTAGGCCTATGAAGGAGAGTTTGACTAAGGGTTTCTGGAATTTGTTAAAAAAATGTTGATGAAAAGAATAAAAAGAAAAATTATTTGCTTTTATAAAAGCATTTGCTACTGGATTTTTGAGTGTAAAATAATATTTGTAAAACTTATATCCAATTCTTTAGGAATTCACTCATGTATTTGAGATTAGGTGGTGAGGGGAGATTTTTGGGCAACAGAAGTGATGCTCATCAAGATCTTATTTATCTGGTCTGTAATCTGCAAAAGCTTTATGACATTAGTATAACTAAAGACTCTCATATGGTGAAGAGTCAGCTCCACCAGGAAGCCTTTCAGGAACACACTCCCTATGGATTCCCCCTCCCCTCATTGGTTAGGTGCCAATCCTTTATTTCTTGTATTAATGAACACGTTATTATACTTAATGATGAGAAGATAATGTGAACAATGTTGAGCACTGTTTTAAGTGCTTTACATGTGTTAACTCATTTAATCCTTGCTGAAACCCTGTGAGGTAGGTTTTGCTATTTTTCTCCATTTTCGAAATGAGGAAGCTGGCACAACGTGGTTCAGTAACTCGCCTAAGGATTTGAAATCAGCCATCGGAGATTCAGTGTTTATGCTCTTAATCACAAGTCGATACTACATTTTGATCATGTTGTTTAGCCATATATGCTTGTATGTGGGTTTCCCCCAGTATATTTAGGGCCACTGCTTTGCACAATTCCAAGGTGTGCCATTTACCTAAAACTCCATGTGAATGGCATTTGGAGTCTGCAGCTCCGATTATACTGTGTTCCTTGGAGGCAGGGACTGTCCTTTTTTCCTAGCACTGTATATTTCCTTGAACATAATAGGTGCTTAGTTTGTTTGATGAATAAGTGGGGTGTTTGCAAGTGGAATAGGGGAAGCATCCAGTATTCAGTAAATATTTGTTGATTGGACTAGAAAATGAAAGATAATTTTGGTGTCTGGGATCATTAGTTGATATTAGGAAGCAGTTATAAATAGGAAATGGTTTTTGAGGAAAAAAAGGAAAAGCTGAAACACACTTTGTTTTAAGAGACAGCCCTGCCTTTTGCAGGATAGTACTAGGGCTGCTGTTCCCCAACCTTATTTTGTAGTGAATGGCAAAGGCCTCTGATCACTTGCTCTAATATGGCATAGTTAACCTGCTGTGTGTGGGGCTCGCATGGATAAAAAATGACTTGTTGTGAATTGCTAATTTAATTTGTAATTTGGCAGTAGTTACAGATTATAAGTGACAAATATGTTTCCTTTTTTCCTAAATAGTGAAGTAATAATTTCTCATGATTATGGCTGTTATAAATATGGGAACTAATTAGAAATCAGCACAGAATACAACAAAAAGCATTAAAATAAGGGACTCTTATAAAAAAGGCACCCTTCCAAATATGCTTAACAATTTTAAGTGAATAAATTCTATAAAGTTTTGTCAAAACCAAATTTGTATCTCCCTCCCCTCCACTTCCCCAGCAAAAAGAGCAACTATTATTTGTGATTATATTAAGGATGAAAGTAATGAACATTTACTTAGGTCTAGTTCTTGCTAATTTGTACGTAATGTCTCATTTAATGCTTTCCCTAAGTTTTGAAGTTGCTATTACCCATCCTATTTTATTGAAAGGAAAACGAAACTCATATTGAATATTTTGTCCAGGTTACACAGAGAGAGCTGAACTTAGGTCAGCTTTACTTCAAAGACCATGTTTTTTCTGCTCTATTCTAGTTGGAGTCTAAACACTCCAATTTCTTGAGGAAATTTATTTCTGTGTATATAATTGGCTCTTGTCATTATATAACATTTTAATAAATGGCTAGAAATATTAAAGTCTTTAAAATTTGTTTTTAAAGTAATGCTTAGTCATTTTACAAATATTATAAAATACAGTTAAGTATTTAAAAAAGAAGAACTGCAAAGTACCTATAGTATATAGAATATAGAATTATATTCTTCTATCCAGACTTATCTGCTATTAACATGTTGGTATATGTTCTTTGAAACTTTTCTCTGTGAGTATGTGTGTGTGTGTATGTAATATATTTATATATATGTAGTAGAATGATACTGTACATTCTCTTTAAACCTTTTTTCTTGATAACTTGAAAATTAATACATTGTGAACATCTTTCCATGTCACAGATAGTAATTGCATGTTTCATTGAGGGTATATAGATTTATTTCATTGAGGGCATATAGCAAAATCTAATAATGTCCTTATACTGGGTGTATTTTTCTCTTTCATAAATTAGGCTGTATTAATTTCCTTGATATCTGTATATATCTGTAATGATTTCCCAAGGATAACTTCATAGGAGGTGAATTGCTGGATCAGACGCTATGGGCATTGAAGGTTTGGATAATTGTTACTACATTATTTTTCAGGTGATTTACCAATTTTCGTTTTTGAACATAAAATAATTATACTATGCTGGTATATATTTCAAGATCACAGATTTTAAATAGGTCACTGATATAGATGTGGTCACCTATTAAAACTATTTGATTTATTAAAACAAGACTTTTTTACCTACGTGATTAAACTTTGTAATATGATATAGACCAGTAGTTCTTAACCAGGATCAATCTGTGGAGCTTTAAAGAATATTTTTGCTTGGGCCTCATCCCAGATTTACTGAATCGGAACCTTTGGGGATGGGAGCCAAGCATCTCTATTGTATTAAAAGACCGTGTTTAAACTCACTTATGCTTGTATCACTGTATTCCTGGTGTAGCTCTGTTTCTGGTAAAATAAAAAGATTGGAAGAAAACATTGTCACCAGTGAAAGGGTCTTATTTGAGGCACAAAACCATCTTTATGAGAGAAGGAATGATTTAGTGTTGTGTAGAAAAGTTGTCTAGTCTATAGTGTTTGTGGTGTTTTATGGTAGTACACAATAGTGTTTTTATGGTAAAGCTATTGTCTTAATTTTACACATTTTGCAGGTCTGCAAAAGATGAATTTACATCTATTATTGGGAAATGTCAAGGTAAGAGTTTCCAAAATATTTAAAAAATGAAAATCTCAAATCTGCAGTGGTTAACAATATTTCTTAAAAGTCAGAATAGATATTAAATATTTACTAACAAGTATTATTATGACTTTAATAAAATAATTTTAAAACATCTTAATTGATTTCTCCTACTGCTTTAAATGTTTTGCTTTAAGGAGATATTTTTGTTTTGCATTTTGGAGATATTTGAAATTGAAACTGGTTTTAAAAAGTCTAAACCAGTTTTGGGATAAAGTATTTGCAAGTGTCTATAGTCTTTTATTTTGAATTCAATGCAGAAAAAAATATTTAGGTGTAAGTCAAGAGTTGGTCAGATATAGACTAGTAACAAAAGTCTGGGATTTGATGATTCTTTGTTCTATTCAGCAAAAATTTACTAAGTATCATTTATCTATATGAACCCTTTTGCTGGGTACTAGGGGTATGATTGTGAGCAAAAAAACCTCATGAGGCACATAGACACTCAAATATCTAATTACAAACTTTGACAATTTTGGTGAAGGAAAAATACAGAGCACAGTGAGAGTTTAACCAGGGATGTGAGATGAGATTGTTGAGAAAAAGTGGCTTTTGGAGAGCAACCTTAATAGTGAGAAGATGGGCGAGTGTTTCGATCTGCAGGAGCAGTGTTTGAAAAGGCAGGGGAAGCCTTGCAGGAGGATGATGATTAAGAGGGTGCTGTTAGGTAAATGCATCTAGTTCTTATGTTTTATTTAGAGGACCTGCAGTTCCACCTGTCTGACCTTGCGTTAGTTTAACAGTGTAGTAGTTGTAGGAATCATCATGATGATAATCATGGTCATTGTGATGATGACAAACATTTATAGTGTTCTTACTGTGTGCCAGGCACTGTATTTAGTGCTTTACATGCATTTTCTCATTTAACTGGAAGAAAGTGGTATACATGTATTATCTTAAAGCAGCGTTAGGGTAAAATAAATAATTGACAGTGAAAGAGAGCAAGGAGAAGGGAGGCATCGATAGTTTTGAAGTCTCCAAAATGATGGTAATACAGAAGATTCTCCTAGCTCCCTGTGGTCTTAAGCTCCTTGTCAAATGCACCATTAGTGGCCTAGGGCTAGTTTCCTTCTCATTCTCAGCCATCGAGATGTGTTCAGAAGATTGAAGATCAAACGTTTTAAAAATGTTTTGAGTTCCCATATAAATGGTGATAATTAATTTTATTAGTATATCAGAATCATTATTTTTACACAATTCCATATATACTAGTGGATAAGGTAGTAATAGAATTCTCGTGGAGTTATCTTTACACATAATATATATGGTAACATAAAAGCAAGTGTAAAACTTCCTACATATGTATATAAACTTATCTCCCCTTGTTCTAGTGTGTTCCTTCTGCTCTGTTCCTTGGATGGTCAGTGGTACCATTATCTGTACCAAGCCAGGAATCTAGATATTGTCTTTTCTTCTTCTTTGTTCTCTCCCTTCCTTCTTTCTTTCTTTGACCAGTATTTATTAAGCTGCCACTATGTGCCAGGCACTATCCTAGGCCCTATATGTACAGTGAGGAATAAGATATAGGCTGCTTAGATTTAAGGGTTTACAGCCCATCAAGGATGAGAGCAATAAATAATTCATTGGAATTGTACTGAGTGATCCAGTGGGGAAGCATCTTCTTTAACTTAACTTCACTACATCCTGGGAATCTGTTTAAATGGCTCCTGCCTCCAACTTCTGTACTTCAGCCATCACAGCCCTAGTTCAGGCTCTTATCGTTTTTTTCTTGGTTTCTTGCAATCTCTTGACAAGATTTTCTTCTATATGCCCTTCATTAATTCACACTGTACACTGCTTGCCAAATTGGTTAATCTTAAATGAAAATTCTCTCAGGTTACCCTTCAAATTGGCTCCTTTGCTTTCTAGATATGTAACCTTAGACAAGTTACTTTACCTCTCTGAGCCTCAATTGTCTGTAATATGGGCATAATTTTATAGATTGGGTTGGGGAAAAATTATATGAGCTAATATGTGTAAAGCTTTTAGCATAATGTCTGACACATACTAAGTATTTAGGTAACATTAAGCTATTATTATTATTACTACTAGTAGTAGTAGTACTGTTATTCCGCCTATAATCTTTCCATTGTTTGCCATTGACCTTAGAGTACAGTTCATATTCTCTAATTCAGGACGTAAGCCTTTCACTGTCTGCCTGTCTGTCCTGTAGGAGCCCCCTCCCGTATGTCCTGTCTACTACAAAGCAGCTTGCAGTTTTCCAACCCCGTCGTGCTTTTCATGCTTTGGTACAGATATTCCTTTTGCCTGGAAGCTCCCACCTTTATAGTTAATTAATCAGTCCTGCATATTTAAGTTCAAGCATCAGCTTTTTTGGGAAACCTTTCTTCCCTGCCCTCTTCTCCATCATTTGTGTTTCTGTCGTAATGTTTCCCTAGGACTTGTTTGTACCTGTATCACCACACTTGGCCTAATTTACTTTCTTTTTATTTTTTTATTTATTTATTTTTTATTTTTATTTATTTATTTATTTTTGAGGAGATCAGCCCTGTGCTAACATCTGCCAGTCCTCCTCTTTTTTTGCTGAGGAAGACTGGCCCTGGGCTAACATCCATGCCCATCTTCCTCCACTCTATATGGGACACCGCCACAGCATGGCTTGACAAGCAGTGCGTCAGTGTGCGCCCGGGATCCGAACCTGCGAACCCCGGGCCGCCGCAGCGGAGGGTGCGCTCTTAACCGCTTGCGCCACCGGGCAGGCCCGTACTTTCCTTTTTAATTGTTGGTTTGCTTGTCTGATTCCCAGTTAGATTGTAACTTTTTTGAAGGCAGGGCTCCTGTCTTACTCAACTTTTTTTTTATTCCTAGTGCCTAGCATGGTGTCTGACACGTAGTAGGAACACAATTTTTGACCCTGTTGAGTGGGTAATGGCGCTTGGGAACTATTAAAATGATTTTTGTGAATGAATGTGTGAACAAAGTATATTTGCCTATTTCCTGTAAGTTAATTTTAGAAATTCATGAGTGTATATATACTTATTATATATAATATTTTGTATATATTATACTTATATATAAATTTATGGCTAATTGTCATGATATTCATATTTTTTATTCGTAGTGTACACAAATGTGTATACATACCACAAATGGAACAGTAAGAGTAGATAAGAAGCCCTGTTTGCTTGGTGTCCTTTTGAGAATAATAGAAAAGAGTAGTGTTTGTGAATTTCTAAAGCTTGGGACTCTAGCATTTTCTGAATTTACTTTCTATAGTTTCCTCACCAATGTTTATTAAAGTAGACCAGACCTGGCTTAAATAATGGAAAAAGATCAAGAAGTTCCCAGAAGAATAATTCGGGGATGTTCAACTACCGTTTTCCCAGTGTTGCCCTTTATTGGGTGAGGGCTTGGAGAGCCTGGAGTGGGCTTCTGGGAAGCGTGCTCAGAATGCTAGAGCGATTCAGACATACAGGGTCTTTTTGAGCTTTGACATTAGACACCTGCTCTTAACCAGTAAGTAAGCTGAGAAATCTACAAGTTAACATGAAAATGGGACACTTACCGCTTCTGTATTTCACACAAAGTATAATATTTGTTAGAGTTTTTAGTGTGTATAGTTAATGTGGCAGCATAGATGAGATAATAGTGCTTTGAGAACTAATGTTTTATTTTGTTGGCTTCTGAATGTGTGAATTTATGACCTTAATGCTGCGTTAATGGCTTCTTTCCATTTCAGATAATGTGAGGTAATGATCATTTGCTTATTATCTGACTCATCTTTATGGGAATAACTCTCATATGCCAAATGATACGTCATGTGTATGCCTGGAGAAAAGGAGCCAGATTGTTGTTAATGCATTTTTGAAACTACATATTGCAGAGTCTGCAAACTGAAATAGGAGCTATTTGGTTCCACTTTGATATTTTTCAGTTATTGTTTTATAAAATATATGCCATTTGAGGATGTTTTAAATGTGGATTAAACTTGTTTTGGCTCTTTTGCCAGGCTATAAATAGTAAATCAGTCTTCTCTTTCTATCTTAAATGGTGACCTAAAAATAACACATGGAATTAGACTTTTTTAGAGCTGTACTATGTTAAGCAGCAGATTTTTCTCTTATTTCTGACTTTGAGATACTATAAACTAGAGCTTCCTTCCTAATGCTAAGTAGCTGCTTCCCTGTGGTAGGTGTGCTGAGATCCCATCAGCCCTTCAGTGGCCCAGTGGGCCCTATGACAGCCCAAGCTGAGACTGGTTGCCTCTGGTTTCCTGCAGCTTCATCAGTTTACCCTTAGGTGCCATACAAACATGATTTTCCATGTGTGTCTTGACATGAAAAAGGTTGGGAAGCATAGACTATTTGAAGCACCTAGATTTTGAAATGATATTTTATTCTAGAACTGTGATTCAAGAGCCTCAGATTATTTGATAACTATGTTTCCCTCTGTATTTTTAGAGAAAAAAAATTTTTTGTGGTTGAAAAAATAATATACATTCTTAGTAAAAACTTGAGAAACTAATAATGAGCAAAAAGTAGAAAGTGAAAATAAATACACCGGGCCGGCCCCGTGGCTTAGCGGTTAAGTGCGCGCGCTCCGCTACTGGTGGCCCAGGTTCGGATCCCGGGCGCGCACCGACGCACCGCCTCTCCGGCCATGCTGAGGCCGTGTCCCACATACAGCAACTAGAAGGATGTGCAACTATGACATACAACTATCTACTGGGGCTTTGGGGGAAAAAAAAGGAGGAGGATTGGCAATAGATGTTAGCTCAGAGCCAGTCTTCCTCAGCAAAAAGAGGAGGATTAGCATGGATGTTAGCTCAGGGCTGATCTTCCTCACAATAAATGAATGAATGAATGAGTGAATAAATAAATAAAGTAAATAAACAAACCGTCCAGAAATAAGTGCTATTAACATTTTATTATCTGTTCTTTCAGACATTTTTCTGTAAGTACCTGTTAACTATTATAGGTATGTTCCATGAAAGTAAA